AACAGCAACATTGTCAGCAGCAGATGAGTTGAAATAAGGTGCACTTTTATTTCCTGTTTGGGAAAGGGATATGAAACCTGGCAGAGGTCTGCTGTTGGAGGTGAATGGAACAGATTTTGTCCAGGCATTTTTTTTGTGTCAGGCTGCTTGAGTAGCCTTGTGCTGCTTGTCAGAGGAGGATAATGTTATCTTTTGGGCAGTGCTTTGAGGTCTTTCATTAGAAAAAATAAGAATAAATGTCAACTAATTTGTAGTTACTACTCAGAAGTGACTAGTACTGGCTCCTGGCAGAAGTGGCTTAGTCTTTTGCCAATTTCAAGTGAGGATCAAAACTGGATCAGAAATACTAGGATTTCTGTACTAATTAAACTTCCCAGTAAAAACATGAGCAGTCTTATCTTCGGGAACTTCCAGGAACCTGAACTGATATATTCCTGTTTTATTTGACAGTGTTTCTGAGGACCAGAAGAGTAAGTGTACTTCCATAGCCAATCTTCTTTTTGAATTATTTTTGCAAGATGCTTGCTGCGATGAGTTTGTAGCTATGTTGTGAGGTCAGCTGGAATTTCCCCCCCCTGCCCAGTTACAAATGTGAACAATCATCTGTGTATCCTTCTGATGTAGGCCAATGGAATGCAAAGTTTGCATTTAAAAGTAAAAAATTCTGAAGAATTTTTAGCCAGTATGTCTTTCAGAACATATGTTCAATACCTGTTTTATAAAGTGTGTAGCTAGCATTCAAAAATTATTTCCTCAAAAATGTCTTGCTTTCTGCCCGTAGGTATCAAGCACAGGCCTCATCAAAGGTCAGAAAATGTTCTCAAAACAGTATAGCTTCTTAGCAATTTAAATAAGAATTTGTATTCCTTCATGTTAAATATTAATACTAGTAATATCATAAACCCTCTTGCATCTCATGGGACAGCAAGATTACTGGGTCAAAAGGGTGTATTTTCTTCCTTACAGGCATTATACCTTTATGAAAGCTTCAGCTGAAGTAAGTCTTGCATATTTATTGACATTTCTTCAAGGAATGCTTTTATTCCCCTGAGTCTATCTACTTATTATGAGGGTTTTGGCAGCCACAATTATTTAGTCAGTTTAAAATGTTTAAGAACATGATTATGAATATATTTTGACAAAACAGAAATTTTCATACCTCTAGTGGAAAAAAGTATTTTGATCATCTCAGGTTTTGTGCAGCTTTTGGGGGAAAGACGTTCTTGGTCTCAGTGTTTTTCCAGTACTGTTTAATATAAAGGGGCAATAAGATATACTACTTAATTTCATTTTCACCTTCAACATATGAAGATGTTTAGGGTCTTTGTTTCAGTACATGCAGCTTGCACCACTTTTTCCATAATAAGAGTTAAGAAAGCAGTCAAAAATTTTATTCGTGCTATAAAGAAATATTAGTTTTAATTTGCTTTTTCTGCACGTAGCACAGTCTAGTAGAGGATTGTATTGATTAGTAAGCCCTGTGCTTTGATTTTGCAGTTAAATATTTGTGTTGCAAGTAAAGGTGTATTGTAGCAATCTACAAATGAAACTACAGTTCCTGATCTATTTAAGTATATCTGCTGAATAACATAGCCTATTTCCTGATTGCAAATATTATACTTATCTATGTTATGTTTAATTTATGTGTAATTCATCCTGTTAGATAAGGTTTGTGTTGCTGCTGTAAAATCGTATTGGAAAAAGCCACATGGGTTTAAGAAATTGATATCTTACCCGTTTGGTATGTTTAGACAATACAAACTGCTGAGCTCCTCTGAAAACAGTTTCACCAAGACGTAGGTGAAAATTCTTTCCGTGTATGAACACTGATGCAGAGCTGTGTGCAGCAGCTAAGAGGTTCCTGCCTTCTTGTGTGGATTTTCTGTGTAAACAAGCATTGTCCAAGATCATAGGCAGGATAAGTAACTCTGTGGTCTTCAAGGGTATGATCAGAGGTTCTTGAGGCCTTGCAGGGCAGCTGAAGCCCTGGGAACTTACAGATGAACTTGCAGTCACCTGTGGTAAGATTGGATGACTGCCAACAAAATTAACATTGGTTTATACTATCCTTTGTTGGGTAGAACAATATTCCAACTATTGTTAATTATAGCTACTGCTTCAATTATAGGCAAGTTGTATCTAATCTAACACTTGTGACAACAGCATGTACATACAAACAAAAACCATGCCAGCTCATTTGTGCACTTGACTGACCCATTACTACAAATCTAACTACTACTACCAGCACCTCCACATAGCAACACCTTGGAAGTTGTCATTCCATGCACCTCCCAAGGGGTTATAGAGAGGTGCCTGTGCTGATGGTTGCCATCAGCTGTGGTGACTCAGATCCATGTGGCCCAGGGTCCATGTATGTAGCTTCTCTCTGCAAAGAGTGAAGACAGTCATCTCTTCTTGCTGATCAGCAGTCAGCAACACCAGCATCTTCAAAGGAACTTCCCCAGTACTGCCACAACTTGTGTATTGCATAGCGTGCTTAATCAGATGGTTGTTGGCAGACCATGTTGTTATGCTGTTAGTTTTAGCTATGGACCTTACAGCGCAACCGTTAGGTTTGTTTCTGTATAGTCATCTTAAAACCACAGCTCAGACGTTTGTGTCGGGCAGTTTAAGTGCCACAGGAAGGCTGTGCAAACTCCACCACAGATCTTAGACTTGCATACAAGATAAGTATCTTGTCCAGTTACCGAGTGAGAAGCACTGGTACGTACTCAGTATTACAACAGCTGGTATGTTTTCAGCCTGTGGTGTTAGATGGAGTGTGTATGCTACCTGGTGGCCTCTATATGGCAAATACAAAAGGATCAGTATATTCCCTGAAAAGTGGTTAGTGATCCATAAATCAGAAAGAATTGAAAATGATTGCTGCAAATCTCACCTGCATGCCATGTACAGTTATAGTTTGAGAGTTATTGACAGTGTCTCACCGCAGAAGTTTTCCACAATTTTTGAAGCTGATCTTAATGAAAGCGGGCATCCAGTTTGGCTATTTTGAGACCAATCTTTGAAATACACTTGCAACAAATGTTACAAAACTTGATGTGTGACATAGACACTGTTTACAGTTTATCAAAAGACTAATTCAAAGGCAGATGTGCCCTGGAGGCTTGGTGCTTGTAGTCATGGCTCTACTTATAGGTCCAGGGTAGGTCTCAGGTTCTTCCATAAATACAGAGATCCTTGTATCACTGGATCCTTGTATTGAGCTACTCTACGTGGCATTATTTAGATGCTCTGTATGCTTCTGGCTAAGCTGGGGTTTTTTTGGTGTCTTTTTGTCAGCTCTGCCTCTCTAGCCATAAGCAAATTTTCTTTGCAGCTGCAAGGAGTAAACTAAGTCTCCAAGAACATTGATAGCGTGTATGTTTTGTGCCGCTGCCTCTCTGTGCGAAGACTAATTCTTCAGAGAGATTCTAATTCAGAGAGTCCAGCGCAGGGCCACAAAGATGATTAAGGGAGTGGAGCATCTCCCTTATGAAGAAAGGCTGAGGGAGCTGGGTCTCTTTAGCTTGGACAAGAGGAGACTGAGGGGGGACCTCAATAATGTTTATAAATATGTGAAGAGTGACTGTCATGAGGATGGAGCCAGGCTTTTCTCAGTGGCATCCAATGATAGGACAAGGGGAAATGGATATAAGCTGGAACATAGGAGGTTCCGCTTAAACATGAGGAAGAACTTCTTCCCAGTAAGGGTAACAGAACACTGCAACAGGCTGTCCAGAGAGGTTGTGGAGTCTCCTTCTCTGGAGGTGTTCAAAACCCGCCTGGATGCGTTCTTGTGTGATCTGATCTAGGTGGTCCTGCTCCGGCAGGGGGATTGGACTGGATGATCCTTTGAGGTCCCTTCCAATCCCTAACATTCTGTGATTCTGTGATTCAGGTATCGTTGTGAATCTCTGGTCTCTGCCTGGCTCTTCAACCTGTGGGTTCCTGTCAGTTCTCTACTGGAAATCTTCCTTTTCCTTTCCTGCTCTCTCTGTCAGCTGAGGAACCATATATTCATTGAAAACACAAGTCTGGAATGCATTTCAGTAGAGTGTGTGATCCAAACCCTGGCCCTACTTAGAGAAGGGCTGACTTTCTGACCAGGTTGCTCAGGATGGAAACATTCACGTCGCAGACCAGAAACTCTATTGTCCACTCAAAACCTTGCACGTTTATCTCTCTCAAAGCAAAAATAAGTTATAACTCATTGGTGTCTCTCTCACCTGGGATAGAGCAGCAACTATACCCTCCTTTTCCCCACCACATTTTGGGATAAGAGAACTGGGCCTCTTGCACTGAATTGAGAGTGCTCTTCCATAAAACTGTGTATTGCTGTGATAGTTGCACTAAGAGTAATAGATGTGTTGTTTTGTAATTGAATGATCTGGCTGATGTGGTGTCTCAGTTTTTGTAATCTGATATGCCGATCACATGCTGGGACTGAAGTAGTGTCAAGAAAAAATACGGAAGGAGATAAAAGACACTAGCTAGTTGAGTTAGATATACTGAAACTGTTCTCTAAAACAGCAATATAAACAGAGGCAGTTGCAAGCTTTATGTAATGAGGTAGCCAGACAAGCCCTGTAAATGACAGAAGGAATTACTTGTCTCTGGTGAAACCACTGTGCCTACATGCTTCTGGGCTGTGTGAAATCATTAGGTGGCTAAAATGGGGGTTTCATGTCTCTCTTCAGAGTGAATTTATGAATAGAAGTTATTCTTAATGGTACAAAATTTACTTGTAACAGTTCAGCTAAGATAATGGAGAAACATATGAAGAGAGAGCCAATTTTGCTTTAACTGTGAAAGTATATCTTCAAATAGTGTTTCTTTGTATATTTGTAGTACTGCTGTCATCTGAAATGCGTTGATTGAATTACAACTATTTTACTGTTCTTCTCCAGCTTTTGAACTGAAACATTTAAAATCATAAATATGTTACTACTTTGTTGCTGAAACTTTACATACCTTACCCGTTTGCTTTCTCTTTTTAGGTGTCTTGGCTTTTTAATCCAACAAGAAGTGAAATAACCAGTCTAGATAGTGGAAATATAGATGACATTTTAAGTGAGTACTTTGAATTTATTTTTTTTTTCTTTGTATGTCTGCAGTCACTTTTCTGTGTGAATCTTATAATGTTATTAAATTAATGTGCATATACCTGGGCTTTGAAAATATGAATTGCAATGGGCATAGAAGTATTAAATGCCTATGATCAAAAATAGCTGTCTGAACTAATGTATTGCCTAACAAATTACTTCATTGTAATCTCAAGGAGGATTTGAAGTGTCTAAGAAAAATACTTGGTATCTGGTTTGCAAATGGCAATGCTTGATTACATAACTGAGAGCTGTCAAGAAAGCATTTTAAAAGTTCTCCAAAATCTAGCAGCAACTGAAACCTGTGGAGATGGACCTTGAGCATCTTGCTTGTTGAGCTATGTTTTTCTTCCGGTCAATTGTTGTCCTTATTCTGCTGGCTCATAGAGAGGAGACTCATAAATTAAACAGATGTGTATTCCTTGTCTGAAAAGAATCCAATTTGCCTATATCTGGTTCTCTTCACAGGGAAAAAATTATTATGTTTTTTCAAATATATTCAGAAAAAAAAAATCTTTATAGCCTTTTATTTAGGTCTGTACTAGAACCTACCTACTATTGCAGGATTGTTTTGTGTAGTAAACGTATGATTAGGTGATATAAGATCTGTTTGTAAATACCTTTTATACAGTAGAAAATATAGAGTCCTTTTGTAAAATGTGATTCATGAAAGGGAATATATACCAAGCATAAATACTTTTAAAATTTATCCTATTATTTTCAATAAATACTTTATGCCTTGGAGGTAACCCTGAATTTCCCTGTGCTTGTTAATTTCCTGTTCACCACTGGCATTCCTTGCTGATAGTGAAAAATCTTAAGGCCATAATTTTAAGCAAAACTGTAGTTTTTCCCAGTCTTCTCAAGAGTGGTCTTTTCCAGCATGTTGTCTTTTCCAGCCTTCCAACATCTTAATCTTTTCTTTGTAATTTTGTCAATAATGCAAAGTCATCTATCAACACTTCTGTTTTATGAAGTTATGGCCTATATTCTATAGTTCCAGTATTTATTTCAAGGTGGTTTTTTTTTCGATGGCTAGGGAGCTACTACTAATACAAAACAAATTTACAGAATGGTTATCATTGTTTATTTTTGGGCAGGAGATTTGTCCTTCTAGTTTTGATCTATTTTCCTTTTTTTAAAATGTGAAAAATAACGTACAAGATGATTATTTCACTACCTCATCATATATGTATGTATAGTATTGCTTTTTTTTTTTAAGTGTCCCTTAGCATTTTTCTTTCTTCGGGGGCTGAAGATCTCTCTGCTACCTTTTACCTTAGCATGCAGCTTCTTAGCAAATAAGGCAGATTAGGATTGACCAGAGTAAGTTGCACAGGCAGACTGCATGTTGGTCGTTCTTCTCACCCAAATAGTAGACATTTCAGCTTTTGACGTTTTTAACACCTAAGAATAATCTAGATGATGCTTAAAAGATATGCTAGAGTACAATTTATGGCTTTGAGTGCCTTAATTTTAAATCCAGAATTACCTTGTCTCATGTCACTTACTACTTTTGTGTCTTAATACCTAAAGCGTTGACATTTTTAATGTCTAATATATCAATAAAGTCAATAAAATACTTGACTGAAGGCCTCTTTCATCACTTTTCCATTTTATATGGATTATATTTCAGATAATATTTATCCTAGCAGTTTTCTAGCAATGAGACTAAGCTGTACTCTGAATCATCTAGAAATACTTGCTTTTATAGTTTTTGTGCATATTTTTATAATCTCAGATAAAAGCACTAAGGAGTTTGCCTCACAATGTGACATTGGTTTTTTTCTTTTTCTTTCCTCTCAGACAATGCAGATGTTGCTTTAGTTAATTTTTATGCTGATTGGTAAGTTATACAAGTTTTTTTCATGTTTAAACTTCTGTCATTCGAAAACTGTCATGTTTGGCTATAATTTTCTAACTGAGAATACTGTGGTATATTGCTTTCAAACTAGTTCTTTCCTGTTTTTCTTTAACGTCCTGATTACTTCCCCTTCTGCTGTTCTACCATCTTTTGTGCTATGTAACTGATTTTTTTTTTCTTTCTCCTTCCTCTTAGCAAGATAAATTTCATTAAGTTTTGGCTCCTTAATATAGTCCAAAATATTCCATTTTTATGTTTTCTTCTGTGTTGATCCCGCGTGTTTGCTAGAAAGAAAAAGGCTTGAAATCATACTACATATCAAATCCTTCTCTCATCTGGAAGACTTTCCAAGTGGAGAACTAGAGAAATTATAATTGAGGGATGAAATCTGAGCAGCTGGAAAAGGAAAGAATTTGAGGCCAGATTGGTTAGACATTGTGAAAGACAGAGGGAACTGTTTACTTGAAATTATCTTTTAAAAGACCCAAACACATGCATATAAAAGCATTGTTAGAATGGTTTTATTAAAGATAACCAAGGAAAGCAGAACAGTGGAGAGTAAATTTAATGTACTGAAATTTGAGGTCAGTGTTGCCATTGAAAAAATCATTTTTGGATTTTGGAGAAGACAGACTGCAGGAGGCTAAAAATCCATGTTCTGATACTTCTGTGATAGAGGGAAGATGCCAATATCTTAAAACTTGATACAGCAAGATAACAAATGTCCTGTTTGAAGACCTTATTAGCACAGCTTTTTCTGCAAATCCCCACTGTTACGGAATCCTCTGTAAGATAGGTTTGCTTTGAATTTGAAGATTTGCATATGCTTGCAAGTTGATTCACATTATAGTAGACGATAATTTTAAAACATTGCAGCCTTAATTATGATCATTACATGGAGGCATTCCGTAATAACCCCTCAACATAGTGTACTGCCAGCCTATGATGTAACATGACCTTTCAATGAGAATAGATCAGTCTCACTGATGTAGATAGACACTGCTGTAAGAGTGGAGGAAAATAAGGGACAAGAAAGCCATATGTAACATATACATGCTACATAACCATGTAGCATACAGTCGTGCTGCCCAGAGTCAGATTTCTTTCAGAAAATGGCCTTATGCCCTGTTTGTATTTTGAGAGCAAAACCTGCCTCTTCTCTTGCGTGTTTGCTGTTGGAGACATAAGAGCATCCCCAGGCTATCACTGTTTGGTTTAAGCAGGGCTTCAGCGCAGGCTGTTTTATTGCCAGGCTGTTCCACGAGGTCTCATTCTGACAACTTCTACAGTGGCGTTACACGTCTTCAATTTAAAATTCTGCCATGTGTTTAGAAGAACAGAATATAAAATAATTTTATTGACATATTAATAATGGGCTTGTACACTAATGTTGCCCTAAACTCCCCAAAGCCACCAAAACGTCTTTACAATCCTGCAGCCTTTTCCATGGGCAGAAACAGACGATTTTCTTCAAAATCTGACATGACTGGAAGAAGAGACCTGTGAGATTCTCTTTGTTCGTAGTGCTGTAATAGCAGTCTAGTCAAACTCTACCAAACTTGAGCAATAATATAATAAACAATACTTTATAAGGATCAACAATAGAAGTTATTGTTACCTATGTGATATTTCTGACGGTGATTGTTGGTGAATATTTGATTCTCAACAATCCAAGTAACTTATTTTATTGTATTTTTAAAATGACTTCCCTAGGGATAATTCAGGTAGAAAAAATGAAGAACAGACTTGCTGAATAGAATATTTCCTAAAGGCCTATACTTGAGTAATGGTGTTTCTTAAGCAGATGAAGCAGGAGGACACATCTTGAACTCTGTGTTCTTTTAGATTTTTTTTCTACCTGAATTATTCAAGTTACTTTTGAACCTATTTTTATACAGTTTTATCCAGTCAGTTACTAGGATGATCACAAGTAGATGTTCTTTTCCAGTAGATTTTCTTTCTTTTTTTTTTCCTTTTTCTTTCAAAGATTGAAATATTCCCTGAGTCAACAATTAAAGTATTTAAAATTAATATTTTGAAGTTATGATTCTATGTTCTATCCACAGGTGCCGCTTCAGCCAAATGCTGCATCCTATTTTTGAGGAAGCTTCTAATGTAATTAAGGAAGAATACCCAGATAAGAATCAAGTGGTGTTTGCTAGAGTAGACTGTGATCAGCATTGTAAGTAAATCCCAACTTAGGTTTTTCTGTGCTATCCTGCCAGGAAGTTATTCATCGTGTTGAAGAATATACTAGACAGCGATCTAAAGCATAATTGGGCCTGCCCCATCGTTTAGCCCAGAGTTGCTTGTATACATCAGTGAACCTGTTCTTCCAAATTTGTCAGGGCAATCTCCAGTATTGCTTTCTCATTGTGTCCATAGGCATGCATTTATATCTGTTCGGCCTGTCTCATTTAATGGGGGAAAAAAGAGCTGGGATTATGAATGGAATTGGCTCACTGAGAGGTCAGACAGAGAAGCACTAGTGCTACAAAAGGTGCTCCCTTCACAGCCAAGGGAAGGGAGAGGTAGCCCTCCAGTGTCACCATCAAGGTGATGATTTGCTCAGGTCTTCCCTCCAACTAGGACTCGTAGTGGACTGCAAGTTGACTTTTTTGCAGCCAGGAGGGGATCAGAGGTTTTCTGCTTTGCTGTTTGTATGCTGCCAGCAAATGGTTGCCTGTTTGGGTTCTCCCCCCCACCCAGGAATATATGAAAATGATACATTGAAACTTACTCATTTTATGCTGGTATTAATCTCAAAAGATGAGTTTTAGGCCCATAATAAGTGAAATGTAAGGAACATCTGCTGCACATGGAAAGACAAATAGGTAGTACTGAGAATTTTATTATAGTGCTTTTTATAGTATAAGATCAGTTTTTCTGTTTTGTGCTTCTGGAAGAGTAACACTTGCAGACATAATTTCTTTACAGCGGCTTCTGATCCCAAAAAGTAGTACCAGATGCAAGTGGCTTCAAATCCCAGAATTTCAGTTCTAACCAATACTGATTATAATATTTGGGCTTCACAAAACTGTTAATTTGTAAGAAGAGTCACAGTTGGAAATTTGAGGAATCACTGTATGGAGTTATTAGTTTGTATCTTTATCATATCGCGGGGAATTACTGTCAACCTAGTAGTTTTGTTGTAGTGCTCTGTTAAAATACCTAAAGAGAGAATCGTATAGGACAGAAAAAAAAGTCAGCTGTGTATCTATGAAAACTAAATGATTTAATTTACCTTTTTCTTCTATGTTTTGACAATCTACCTTTTTTGGTGTTCGAGAGGATTTTTCCCTGTAAGGAGAATTCTTGACTTGAAGTGTATTGGTTCTTGCAGATTTAAAAGTCAGTAAGTCCACTTGAGCATCTTCCGCTGGCACCGTTTTGTGCTCTGTTTTGTATGCATGCACGGAGTTGCCCAACAATAAGAGCATCTTATTGCGATCTTGAAAGAGGTCTCAAGAATAAAATCCCCACCTTTTACAGGAGCAAACAGTTTCAAGTTTCTGAAATGTAAGATAAGCTCATTCTTCAAATTGTCAGGAGTGGCTGCCAAGGAGATTCTGTTTTGTCCCTTCCTAAAGATTAGTAAGACCAATTCATGACAACGGGAAACTTTATCCCAGAGGCGTTTAAATCTTTGAGTCACTGGGATAGTGGATCCCCTTTATAGCCTCAGCTGGAAAAGAGGCACAACAGTAATGGCCTAGGGTATGCGAGTGGCTTTGAAGCATTTAGCTGCTTTCTGGGCTGGAGTGACAGGGACATGTCGGGGAACTGATACAAAAGTTTGAACATAGGTGTTCGTGAAGA